ATTTCAATACATTCATTAAAGAGATTGAAAATCTACTGTGAAATTTATATGGAAACACAAGAGGCACGGACCATAGCCAAGGCAATACTCAGTCAAAAGCACAATGCTGGAGGTATCTCAATACCTGACTTCAAACTACTATTACAAAGCAATAACAATAAAAAACAGATGGTACTGGCACAAAAAGAGACATGAAGACCAGTGGAACAGAATAAGGACCCAGATATGAAGCCACACAAACTATAACCAACTGTCTTTGACAAAGGAGCTAAAAATATACGATGGAGAAATAGCAGCCTCTTCAACAAAAACTGCTGGGAAAACTGTTAGCAGTCTGCAAAAAACTGAAACTAGATCCATGTATATATCACCTATACCAGATTAACTCAAAATGGATCAAGGATCTTAATATCAGACCCCAAACTCTAAAGTTGATACAGGAAAGAGTAGGAAATACTCTGGAGTTAGTAGGTATAGGTAAGAACTTTCTCAAAAACCCCATAGCACAGCAACTAAGAGATAGCATAGATAAATGGACCTCATAAAACTAAAAAGCTTCTGTTCCATCAAAAGAAATGGTCTCTAAACTGAAGAGAACACCCACAGAGTGGGAGAAAATATTTGCCCTACACATCAGACAAAGGACTGATAACCAGAATATATAGGGAACTTAAAAAACTAAATTCTCCCAAAACTAATGAACCAATAAAGAAATGGGCAGTGAACTAAACAGAACTTTCTCAAAAGAAGAAATTCAAATGGCCAAAAAACACATGAAAAAATGCTCACCATCTCTAGCAATAAAGGAAATGCAAATTAAAACCACACTAAGATTCCACCTCACCCCTGTTAGAATAGCCATCATCAGCAACACCACCAACACAGGTGTTGTTGGCGAGGATGCGGGGAAAAAGGAACCCTCTTACACTGTTGGTGGGAATGTAACTAGTACAACCACTCTGGAAAAAAATTTGGAGGCTACTTAAAAAGCTAGACATTGATCTACCATTTGATCCAGCAATACCACTCTTGGGGATATACCCAAAAGACGTGACACAGGTTACTCCAGAGGCCCTGCACATCCATGTATTTTTGGCACTATTCACAATAGCCAAGTTATGGAAAACAGCCAAGATGCCCCACACTGACGAATGGATTAAGAAAATGTGGTATCTATCACAATGGAATTTTATGCAGCCATGAAGAAGAACGAAATGTTATCATTCGCTGGTAAATGGATGGAATTGGAGAACATCATTCTGAGTGAGGTTAGCCTGGCCCAAAAGACCAAAAATCGTATGTTCTCCCTCATATGTGGACATTAGATCAAGGGCAAACACAACAATGGGATTGGACTTTGAGCACATGATAAAAGCGAGAGCACACAAGGGAGGGGTGAGGATAGGTAAGACACCTAAAAAACTAGCTAGCATTTGTTGCCCTTAAACGAGAGAAACTAAAGCAGATACCTTAAAAGCAACTGAGGCCAATAGGAAAAGGGGACCAGGAACTAGAGAAAAGGTTAGATCAAAAGAATTAACCTAGAAGGTAACACCCACGCACAGGAAATAATGTGAGTCAACCCTGTATAGCTATCCTTATCTCAACCAGCAAAAACCCTTGTTCCTTCCTATTATTGCTTATACTCTCTCTACAACAAAATTAGAAATAAGGGCAAAATAGTTTCTGCTGGGTTTTGAGGGGGTGGGGGGGAGAGGGAGGGGGCGGGTGGTAAGGGAGGGGGTGGGGGCAGGGGGAGAAATGACCCAAGCCTTGTATGCACATATGAATAATAAAAGAAAAAAAAAACAATGCAAGTCACCTAAGATGGCGACCTGAGGAATTTTAAGTAATCTAAGAGGGTGACATATACTTTGATGGAAAAGATTGTTTTTCTTACATCTTGGTGGACAGGAGCAGAGAGGGTACAACAAGAAGGGCCAGGGATAATTTACCCTGAGTACTGCCTCCTTACTTCTTCTATCTAGATCCCACCTCCTAAGGTTTCTGGGATCTCTCAAACATAGTGCCACTAGCTAGGGATTAACCTTTTATTACATGAGCCTTTTTCGGGGTCACTTCCTATCAATCACAACAAGGAGTTATGTAGGGGCTAATACAGGTGTTTCATCTGATTAACTATGCTGGATATGAGGAAAATATTAGTGATACTATTGGTTCCTAGTAGTTAGAATACAGGTTTGTGTGGAACTATGGAGTTCCCATAGATAAGCTCTATAACTACATAATATCCAAAAATGCAGGAGAGAGAAAGATGAGATCAACATCTCCAAATTGACAGCGTAATCAATATGTAGTTGGTTTTGTTACAAATGCTGACTGGGTGTTCTTTTACCTCTCATGTCAGAAATCAAGCTTTGAGTTTATGGCTTTGAGTTCCAAAAGCTCACAGGTTGGGTTTTCAAAACCCCGAGCTAAGCTCTAAGCTCTGAGAAACCAGAGGCCTATGACTCCCAACCTTTCAAAGCCATAGGCTTATTGCTCAAGGCTCAGCTTGCCAACATCCAGCAGCCAGAGCCACAAGCTCCTGTGCTTTGGGTCCAGCACCCTCACGTCTCTATCCCTTGGAAGCCCTCTTCTAGCAACCAGGACTTGCAGTCCTTGCAGTCTTGGCTCCTCTTTGGCTTTGCTGCCTCTTGTCTTCCATAGCCTCAGCTTCTCTGCTGTCTCTCACCTCAATACTTCTGCTCTCTTTCTTAGATTCTTGCAGATTCTTCCCTTGGTCACTCTCTTGGTCTATTGAAACACCTCCTAGTGTAACATCTCAGAGCTGCTGGGCCCTCAGCTCCTGGTGACTCTTGGGAGTTCTTCAGCTGTTTCTTCTCTGCTACTTCTGCTGCAGGGGCTGGAAATGCAGAATTTTCATCTGGTTTTTTTTTTGTATCACTAGCTCAGTCCATTCTACCTGTGATAAGGACCAGAAGTAGGCAAAAGACCATTTGGGAGAAGTTGTTAGTTGGGCCTAATGTAATAACCCTATGGGTACTACAAAGGAAAGAAGCCTCCCAGGCTAACTAAAAAAGAGTGTCATTCAACTGTTTGTATGATTAGAGAAGGGACATGGTATACCTGTTGTTGGCTGTGAAATTCTCACCAATCACAGCACAACTTCCAGTTCTCCAACTGCAGGCCTTGTATAAGGACCAGTAACACACCTCATATAGGTATAGGCTTCTTTTTGTCAATCATAAGCTTTTTACTAAGTCACTACAGCTGGTGCTCCTCCTTCTCCTGTCCTAATTGAGGACTATTATTACAAGATCTGGGAGCAGCCAAGGGCAAGGCCCTCTTGAGCAGCTGCAGGTGAGGCCATCTGCAGATCACCAAGGCTTGCCATGGTTAAGTGAAGTTTTCAGTGCTGGTGAAGGCTGGAGCAGTTGTGACTGGAACAAGGCCTCCTGAAGCAGAAGTGGTGACCAGCAGCCCAGTTGAAGTTTTCTATAGCTAGAGTGTGTAGCTTCCTCAAGGCATCCCTTAAGTGTTCAAAGCAGCTAAATTATTAGTGACAGTCTGCTTGTTGCCAAAGGAGGGGCTGTTTAGTTGACAGCTCCTTGCTCAAGGGCAGCTAGGCTGGCAGAAGGAAGGGTCTGACAACTGTCAAATTGACCTGCCCCCAAGAGCTTCATTAAGGAACATGAAAGGGTGCTTATAACAAAGATCTTTCATGAATATTAATCTTATTTAATGGTGCTTAACTCCTATCAAATACCCTCAGAGAGTTGGGTCCCATACGTTATAGGAAAGCCCATATACTTGTCATGGTCTATGGTTCAAATTGAGTATCTCCCAGAGAGTCATGTGTTGAAGGAGGGTTGGCTCCCAGGGGTGATGCTATTGGGATGTTGTGGAACATACATAATGTCCATATAAATGTGGACATTTATACTGTGTCCTTGAAGGGCATGTGGGACTATGATTTTTCTTATCTGTCTCTAATTTTGCTTCCTCTCACATGTAAGCATTTTTTTATGCTCTGCCATGTGCTTTTGACATGATGTACTGTCTTCACCAGAGGCCCAAAGCAATGAGGCCACTCTGTCTTGGATTGGAACCTCTGTAACTATGAACCAAAATAAACCTTTTGATTTTTAAAAATTAGCATATGATAGTTGTACAGGGATATACATGATGACACACATATGTGCTTACAATATATCTTAATCAGATTCACCCCTTCCATTGTTTTCCCACATCCTCTCTCCCCATTTCTTAGAACCATTTCAACAGGTTTCATTGTTCTGTTTTCATACATGAATATAAAAATATCCTACATAGTCACCCTCCTTCATCTTCTTTGCCTCCTCCCTCCTACTGTTCCCACCCCTGGACAGACCTGTATCTTTCTGTCTTTCATTTTTTAAGTGTATATGGATAGTTCAAGGGAGTTATGCATTGGTATTTCAGAATGAATATATCATGCTTTAATCAGATTAACCCCATTACCTACTCTTTCTCTATTTTCACATATAACTGCAATGTTTCAATAAAATATTTTTTATTTTACTCTCTAGACACTCCTGGAGTGATTGTCTAGACATTTCATGAATTTTAAATATTATTATTGGATGGGCTATGTGTCCACTTTGATTAATTAATGATTTATCTTCCAAACTGTGTTACTTTTGTGAGTGAGAGGTAATGAATAGGGATAAACCAAGAATGTCCCTTCCAAACCAGGACATATAACCAGTCAACCTTGACCCAAATGGGCTGACAGCCAGGCAGAGAAATCATAGTTTCCGGAGTTTGCTTCATGAGAAAAGGGGAGTAGGCATGATGGGATGGAACTTCTGTGACTGTGAGCTCCATATTTGGGGATGTAAGGGGGGACTTGGACTTCCTGTCTGTCTAAGTGAGTTAAAACCAGATCTTGGAATACTAATAGCATTTGGAGCTGTGACTTATCCTGAAAGACTGTGTGATACGGACCAGTGGACAAAGAAGTTCTCTTGCGTCTTTCTCTTGGGAAGTCTGTAAACATGAAGCTGTTTCTGGTTCTCATTATTCTGCTGTTTGTGGTATTCACAGGTAACTTGTCCAAATGTACCATAAAATTATAGGAGATATTACTGCTTTTAAGAATGGGGACAGGACCCTTAAGATTGGTGATAGCTACAATATCATAAAAAATACCCATTCTCCTGGGTGTCTGACTTGATGTGCCTTAGAAAAGAGCAAGCAGGGAGGACAGGGCTATACTCAGGAGTCCTTGCTAAAAGTAGTCATGAACCCATTATCCAATTTTCACCCAAGAGCCTGACCATCTTCCTTTCCCCTCAAATTCATTTTCAGTCTGTGCTATCATAGTAATGAAAATAGCACATGGTTCCATGTGAGGATAAAATATGTCTTTGTTATTAACTATGAGTTAGGTGAATCATTCCCTTTGAATCTCAAATTTCTCTTCTGTCAGGTGAGTGTAATGATTCTAGTTCATGTGAGGACCACAGGAGCCTACAAATGTGAAGCACCAAGTTCATGGTAGGAGCCCTGTCCCTGATGGTTTCCTTCTCCTTGCTAGGATGAAGGCACATTGTCTTTTTGTGGCCCTCAAGATATACCTCTCTAATCTTTGAAGATGTTCCCTGACTATGAAGTTTAGAATGGACAGAACACATCTCTGTTCTCCATCTTTATTCCATGGTTGTGGCCATACTTTATGTAGAGGGACAAATTAAGGTTTAGATATAAGAAATTTAGTACCTTAGTGCGTTACTTTGAATAGGTGACAATTTGGATCTCAAGGGGATAGGTATTCATGGAATTGAGTTTGATCCTTGGGCAATACATTTATCTGAGATCAGGTGAAAAGGGGAGAAGCCAAATTCTTGAGAAGTACTACAGGCTGGAGAGGTGAAGGAATTCGCAATGCATTTATGGCTAAGACCCAAGAGATCTTGGCAAAAGGAGATTTCTGTTCTCCATATCAGTGAGTGTAGAACCCAGCCACATGGCCAACTTTTTAAAGTCCTGTACATAATGTTCTTATTCTTTTTTTTCAGTACTGAGGATTGAACCGAGGGCCTTACACATTCTAGGCACATGCTCTACCACTTGATCCATGTGTCTAGCCTTTTAAAAAAATTTTAGTTTAGTTTTGATGGAATTGGGGTTCCATAAGAGCCTCACCCTTGCTAGGCAGTGAGCCACACCCCAGCCCTCTTTGCTTTAGTTAATTTTTGACTAGGTCTCACTTTTACGTTCAGGCCAGCCTGAACCATGATTCACCTATTTAGACTTCCTATGTAACTGGAATGACAGGCATGCCCACCATGCTCAACTTTTATTGGTTGAGATCAAGAGTCATGAATTTTTGCTGGGCTGACCTAGAATTGCAATTCTCCTGATCACTACCTCCTGGTAGCTAGGATTATAAGCATGAGCCATTATGCCAGGTCATTTTTTGTTGTTATTTGTGGCTCTGAGTGTTGAACTCAGGGCCTCACATTTGCTAGCAGTCTCTCTACCACTTGAGCCACAGCCCAGCTTATTTTATTTTTGAGATACATTCGTGCTACTTTGCCCAGGCTGATCTCAAACTTGAAACCCTCCGCCTTTGCCTCCAAAGTATCTGGGATTACAGATGTGTGCTAACATGCTTGGTTTTGATGTTCTTTTAAAAAGATGATTTGGCTCTAAGTTGTGTCAATAGTGACAAGTTAATGTGATCTGGGGACTGAGGGCTGAAGGAATGCTGACTTTGAAACATGGAGCAGAGTCAGGTTTGCCAGGGTCCTTGGGACAAGACATAGCTCCAGTCCGTAACTAGGAATTGAGGTCTTTTCTCTTTTGTATCATGTGTTCTAATGTTCTGACAGCCAACTGGGCATGGCCAGAGCTGGGTTTAGAATGTCCGAATTGGGGATTTTCAAGGAGGGTTCTGATTTCCTCTTACCTGCATAAGGTTCATTTTGGGACCATAGGAGGAGATAACTTGTAGGAACCACACATCCCTTCTGCTCTCCCGCAGAAACTAACCTCGGCTCCATATTGTTTCCTAGGTGCAGATGGGGCACGTCCCAAAAGATGCTTTAATAACGTTGCAGGCTACTGCAGGAAGAGATGCAAAGTAGGGGAAATAGCTGAAGTGGGGTGTCTACATGCGCAATTATGTTGTGTTGATGAAGAGGAAAACAGAAAACAAATCCAAATCCAACAGCCAGCTCAGCCTCCTAATGAGAAGTCTGAGGAAGTGATAGACTACATTATTTTACCCACTGTCACATATTTCACGATTAGTATATAAATAGAGCACTTGTTTCCTTGTACTACACCTGTCCTAACTGAGAAGTGCTGTCCAACCTAGCAGCATGCCGCAAGAGTTTACCTGCTTCCTTCTGTGAATGTGATTCCCCACACAATAAAGTCCTGTGCTTTTGCCTGTATTTATTTATTGATGTATCCACTCATTTTTTGGACACCAATCATGAATTGATAGCTGCCACATTCAAGGTGTAACACTTACAAAATGGGAGATTAAATGAAACACATTGGGAGAGGTGGAAGTTATAGCTTCTACTTCTAAGGAAGATGATATTTCACTAATTTTAGGTATTTCTCCTCATTTTTTAGAAATAAAATTTTTTATGTCTAAGAAAATCTGAATGTTCTCTCCACCCCCCCCCTTCTCTCTCTCTCCCTCTCCTCTCTTTGCATACTAAGAACTAAGAATTTATTAGAGGGAGAAAAGATATTTGAACATTTCGTAACACTTATTGGGGCTGATCTGATGGGCAGTGAAGACAAAATAATTTGAATATATCATTTGAGGTTCATTTAATGAGCTTTCTCCATCTCCTTTTTCAGTAGCAGTTGCACATCTATCTAGTTGACACAGTTTTTAGACAAATGGTACTCATGGGTGTTTGGAAGCATTGAATATTCCGTTTGTTTCGATGGTGGAACATTTAGAGCCTTATAAGCGACAGGGACATATTTAAGAAGCAAATTGTGAGTTTGATAAGATTGTAGTGTTATTATGGCAGGAAATGCTCTCCAGATGAACGAAACAGAAACCTCTGTGGTGACACCAGTGGATGTTGCTGTGCTTAGAGCATTGGTTATATATAACTTATGAGTTAGCATTTACTCATACAAGACAGAGCTAGATAGGCCTTATTCCTCCATGAGCGGCTCACCGTTTTGTTTCATTGGGAGGACAGAGGGACAAATGTTTAGATGGAGGTGTAAAAATTCCAAGAGAACACAAGAATCGTCCCTTTAGTCGTTGTGGCTGTTGAGAATTCTGATGGATAAGGCAACAATGACTGGACTTCATTGCAGAATTTTAGAAAGTTTTATTGGGGACTTCAGAGCCATGGAAGCTAATCTATAGCTATTTTCAAAACTAATTCTGACAGAATTGTAAAAATAAGGTTCACATAAGTCAGCTCTTGAGAATAACATTCTCTTTTTCAGAGTTCTAATACAATGTCACAGGGGTGTGTTTTCTTTGAGGGGAGGGGCCCATTTGGTCAAAGGTGGGTGTGGCCCATTGTCTTTAATCTATATGTGGCCTCTACTCTGTGTGGGTCCACTGATAAATTAGATACAATAATCCGTTTTGGCTGAGTTAGTGTTGACCAGAGAAGTGTCTCCAGTCAAACAGATAAATTAATCCTCGAATTTTATTTTGCACCCCTCTCCCATTACACTGTATCCCTTCAATACTTACAGGAGAAGTGGATGTGGTCAGTATTGTTAGGTCCATGTATATTTGTCTGCCTCCTCTTTTTACATACAAAATTAAATAGAAATCCCATACTTTCATCATTCACCCTTTTGGTATAGGAAGTATTGATACCTCATTTTTCTTGGATCTGTCTTAGAGCATTTTCCAAAATCTTACTCATAAACTATTTAAAATTATTTTATTTTAATAAGGAATCATTTCACATCTATTTTAAATATTGTATGTAGTAGTTTTCATTTTCTTTCTTTTATTATTTCTTTTTATTAATGTGTAATAATTATACATATTTATGGGGTACAGTGTGAGCACATGTACACAGTGGATACTGGTCAATTAGGGTAACCAGAATCTCCATCTCCTTATCATTTCTTTATGTTTGGAGCCTTTGAGTTCTCTATTCTGGTTCTTCAAGAAAACATATAGTAGGCAATTGTGAAGTATATTCACCCACTGTGCCGTGGAACATCAGGACTTTATCTATCATCCATCTATCTATCTCATCTTTTTTGTGGTACTGTGGTTCAAACTCAGGGACTCACATTTGTTTGGAAGGTGCTCTACCACTTGAGCCATGCTCCCAACCCTTCTGCATTAGTTATTTTTCAGGTACGTTCTCACATTTTTGCTGTACCATGATCCTCCTATGTATAGCCTCTTGTGTGGCTGGGATCATAGGCATTTGCCACAACACTTGGCTTACCTATTTGAGAATGGCAGTCTTGTTAACTTTTTACCAGGCTGCCTCAAACCATGATCTTCGCATTTCCACCTTCTGCTTGCTAGAATTACCATGATGAGCCACAATCTGGTCCCTTCTAGCTATCTTTTGGTGCCTATTGTTCAACCTCCCTCTATCTCCTCCTTTAACATTTCAAACCTCTAACAATCACTATTCTCATTCAAATGGTTTTTAAATTCCAGATTTAAATCTGATATATCATATCAGATTAAAATATCATATCAGATAAATAAATCAAATAAATATATCATATTTATATATGATATTTTTCTTTGTGGTGTCTGGCTTATTTATTTACATATAATGTCTTCCAGTTCCATCTATTTTGCTGCAAATGACAGGATTTCACTTTTCTTGACAGTTAGTGATATGTTATTTTTACTATACTACTAATATGTTATGTGATATTTATTTTGTCATGTTAAAACCATACTCTCCCATTTGAGAAGGGGATGTATGGACTGCATACAGCAGTTACTGGCTCATAACAATTTAGACTCATGATGGGATACATGCTACCGTCCTTATTCCGTCAAGGAACTGAGTCCTTGACAAGGATTCAGTTCTGCTCTCTAGGAGTGGCATGCAACAAATTAGTGTGTGAATGAAATCTGAAGTCTGCCATAATTGTTATGGTGACATGATAATGATATAAGAGAGTATACTGGAAAACGAAGGTGAGATATAGCTGAAGAAGAAAGTTCATATGAATCATATTCAAAAAGTACATCTTGAATGGGTCCCAATGGCTAACGCCTGTAATCATTGCTACTTGGCTTGGGAGGCTGAGATCAGGAAGATTGTGGTTAGAGCACACAAATAGTTCATGAGATCCCCATCTTCAAAGCACCAGAGCAAAATGGACCAGAAGTGTGGCTCAAGGGATAGAGCACCTGCTTTGCAAGTACAAAGCCCTGAGTTCAAACTACACTCCACAAAAAAGTACATCTTTAAGCATTAGGACTATACAATGGGTTATTGCTTTGTTGTCTTGCATATCAAGGCAGCAGTAAACACTCATACAATGCTGCAATTCAGACCAATACCTAGGTGTTTTATGTTTCACCCAACTCCGAAGGATCCCAATACCAAAAGAACAACAACAACAAAATTCTCTAAAGACGTCTGTCAGAGTCTTTTGTTTATGCTTGCCTCCATGTTATGCAGTGAGTCCATGACAGTGGACTCCTACTTATCTTGCCCTTCCCAGCTCACTACTGGTTCACAGGACCTAGAAAATCAGACTTCCCCACAGTTTACAAATATCCTAGCCTTACCAATTCCCTTCCATTTGATGATGCCATTCTTTGCACTCCAATTGCCTTCCCTACTAATAAGTTTTGTTGAAATTCTACAAAGGCATCATATTAATCTTAAACACACCCATGAAATACTCCACCTTACCTTCTCCTGAATTACATGTCATTTTTCTTGAGTTTCTTATTCCAATATCCTATGATATAGATGTTTTTTGTTTGTTTAGTGCTAGGATTGAACTCAGGGCCAGTACTCTACCATGTAAGCTGCACCCCTAGTCCTCCATGTTACAGGATTGTTGTGTTATTGTTTTAGAGCACTGTTTGTAATTGCTATCAATTCATTATCTGCTAGATAGTAAATGCTGAGTTAAAGAATACATGAATCAGAAAACAGGCAATTAATCTTTAGTGTGATGTGTTTGAAAGCCATTCTGGAGCTCAAGAAATCAGAAGGAAAAAGGCCTGGATTCCATTACCTTAGGGTATTAATAAGGAGAAAAATGAGTGAACAGAAAACTGTATTTGATTTATATAGAAAATGTCTTGGGAGTTAAGGGAGTTTCCATTTCTGCATCACTGACTTGAGGAAAAGTAAATGCATATGTTTGTGGCTTTCGACGAGGTGGCTCTGTAATTTTTTTACGTTCTTCTAGTTCCTTGATACTGAGGCAACAATATCTACCGTTTGGACATAGAATCTCACGTATTTCAGTCGTTCTGCATATTTTCCTGCAGTATCCATGTATATAGTTATCCCAGCATCTCTTCAGTTGCTCAGTTACTGTGCACAGAGAAGAACAACAAGCAAGGTCAGTGAAACTGAGTGTGATTTTGGTTACTGGAAAGGCAGAAGAGGTTTGTAGGGAGTAGGGGGGATGGAATATTCACAAATCCTATTCTCCTAATATCCCAAAGAACGCTCTCTATCAAGGTGAAACTCAGTGTTTACATTTAACTGGTTCATTCATACTTAGGTCTTGCAAGGTTTGGGGAACCTTCCACATCCCTTAGGTTACAGAAAATAAGGAGCTGAATCCTCGATTTAAGACTGTGGAACGCTGCTCCATCTGGGGACCTTAGCAAATCTTCCTCATCTTGAATGCTTCCAGGGCACTATGTCCTTACTACTTCCCCACTCTGATGCCCAGAGAACAACAACTTGTTGCTCTGTTTTTATGTCAGAGTCAAACTATGTTCTTAGGTTCAAAATCACCACATGGCTAAGGATCACTTCTTGCCTCCCAGTCAGGTCATTTTTCCCCTTCAATAATCTCCCCCTTCTATTCATTCTTAGTATTGCAGACCACTGCCAGGGCATGTTTCTTTGGTTGCTGTGTCATCACGATAATCCAGATGTCCTTCTCATTCTTGGATTTATTTTGTCCTTCTGTGACTTCTCATTCTCCAGAGGCAAGAATTCCTCCAGTGTCAGTTCTAGACCTCCGCTCACTTGAATATGTATTTTTTTTCCTTTAGTCATCTTTTGCTTTTTGAGACAGTCTACTATATAGCTCAGGTTAGCCTTGAACTGTCTAGGTAACTTGAGGCTGGCCTCA